GACTTCGGCTCGCTTACTCTGGGTGCATCATCAGGAAAGACCAATTGCTAGAAAAGGACATCATATCTGAAAATGCGGGACACCCTGCCTGAGATGGATTGACACAATAGCTGTAACAATGAATTCACATGTACCTACAATCGTGAAAATGATGCAGGACCAGGCAAGATTTCATTCCATCATACCTAAGAGGTCTCCATGAGTCAGAGCTGACTTAATGGCAACTAAAACAGCAACATGAATGACCAAACCTTGAAAAAGGAGGGAGGGACAAGATCTGATCCCTGCCCTCCTGGAGCTCACGGTCCAGGGGCAGTTGTTGTTAGTTGTGGGTGACTCCTGGTGACCTTATGTATAACACAATGGAGCATTGCCCCGTCCTGTGCCATCCTCATCATCTCTGGTATGTTTGAATCCATTGCTGCAGCCACATGTCACCCCATCTCATGGAGGGTTTCCCTCATTGTCACTGATCCTGTACTTCACCATCCAGGGGCAGAAACACCAATAATTACTTGTGTCACTCTTTTGGTAAGTGCCACAAAGGAGACACATGAGGGACTGCAAGAGAGCACCAGAGGGACCCAGACACCTCTCGATTTATAACCCAGGGCCAAAGGAAATGGCTTGCCAGAGTGTCAAGGCTTGATCTTTTCTTCCAAGGAGAGAGGACTTAAGCCCTGACTCTGCTAAAGGTGAGGTGGTCTGGGAAGAAAGAGGTGGCTATTGATGCAAAAGGTTGTGATTAGATATTGACTGAGCTCCAGAGAGGGAGAAAAGTCAAGGAGGTTTCAAGTTGTTCTCTGGAGCGCTCTTTGTCAGCATAAAGATTAGACCGAATTATAGCAGGTACATGAGTTCTATCACCAAGCTCTTGAAAAGGTCACTGAGACACCATCCCAGCTGCACGGAGCCTTGAGTGGTGGCAGCCAGGTCTGGGGCTGCCACATCCTTCAGAGCTGCAGCAGGCAGGTCACCTCTGAGGATGGCTGTCCACTGCACACCTCCTCCCTGGCTCCCTATTCACAGACAGGTCCCTGCAGGCGAGGCCAGACTTTCCTGTCAGGCATTTTCTTTTTTGGCTCTCAACTTTTTTCTGTTGCCCAAACACCATTAGAACAGCAATAATGGAAACTGAGAGAGGAGAAAAGAAACACCAGCAATACTATCACTTCTTCATGTCAACGTTTTAACTTTTTCATGTTTCCAATCCCATGTAATGAATAAAGAAAACAGGCTCAGATAGGTGGAGCACACAGCATTCTTAGGGCAGTGAAACTATAGGATATGATGCTGCAACGGTGGACACATTACAGCCCACAGGAGTGTACAAATCAAGGGTGAACCCTGACGTCAACTATGGACTTTAGTTAGTGTGTCAATATTGGTTCGTCAGTTGTAACCAGTGTACCACAGGAATGCAAGAATAGGAGAAATAATGTGCAGGAGGGAGGGAGTATATGAGGACTCTGTACTTTCTGCACACCTTTGTTTCCACCCTGGCCAGCACCACACTAGGACCATTTCCTGGCACCATTGGACAGATTGGGGTCTGGTCTGAAGCTGGATCTGATGGACAAGAAAGAGACCATCTGAAATGTGTGATCTGGGTGGCAAAGCTTCCTGTCTCTGCCTCTCCACAGCTAGGAGGGAAGATGGGAGACCAGACTAAGGGAACGAGGCCACATATCAGCCTGTCTGCATTATAGCCATAATTGCAAGGAAGAAGCAGGTCCTGAAAGCAATAAAGGCCTTAAACCCCATGGCTTCTGTGTGAACAGGAAAGCAGAAGCAGGTTATGGGCCATGCTAAGCTTGAGTAATAGGTGAATACAATCTTGCTCAGCAAGATTCCTCTTGGGAGAAGAGGGCTGTCTTTGGAGGAATCCTGTTTTCATATATATATGCTGCTTCCGTAGAGATTTACAGCCTTGGAAACCCTATGGGGTTGCTATGAGTCAGAATCGACTCAATGACAGTAGGTTTCATATATGTATATATAACACAACGTTTGCTGTTCAACATTTTTCAGGTGTACAATTTACTGATCTCAATTACATTAATCAAGTTGTGCAACCACCACCCATAATGGTTGCCAAATTTCCCATCACCATACTGGAGGAATTCTTTGATTACAGGCAGGGGGGCAAAAGGTAAAATTCCACCTATCTCTCACCCCAAGAAATGTTTTGGTACTTTTGCTAAAAGTTAGGGGAAGAGAGGAGACATAGGAGAGAGAAAGGAGAAAGACAGAGGAGGTAGACATAAGAAAACTCAGAGGCTTGGATGAGTTCAGGGGTGGCCAATGGTTTTAAAAATGATTGAGGAGGGGGAGAGTAAGACAGAGACTGAGAAGTAGCCACTGGATTTGGCAGAGTGCAGGTCTTCAATGTCTTCGATGACAGTAGTTTCAGGGGAGAGGTGGAGGCAGGGGCTACTGTGGATCAGGTTAAAGAATGTATGATAGGAGAGGAAGACTGATTGCCATCTAGTCGATTCTGACTCATGGCAACCCCATGTGTATCAGACTAGAACTGTGCTCCATAGGGTTTTCAATAGCTGATTTTTTGGAAGTAGATCACCAGGCCTTTCTTCTAAGGTAGCTCTGAGTGGATTCAAACCTCCAACCCTCTGGTTAGCTGTGAAGCACATTAACCATTTGTACCACCCAGGGGCTCCAAGTCAGGAAGAGTGGGGACTTTCTTGAGAAGTTTGGTTGTAAATGGCAGGACAGAAATGGGGCAACAGTAGGAGGGGACTGTGGGCAAGAGGAAACACATCAAAATGTTGACAGTTTTTTTCAGAAGGGAGATACTAGGGCATGTTTGTATGTCGATGGGACTGGATCCAGTAGAGAGAAAGATATTGATGATGCAGGAGAAAGGAGATGATTATAGCAGTAAACTCTTGGGAAGCCAGAGAGTGTCAGTCAGCCTTTGATAGGGCCAAGGACAGAAAACAGGAAGTGGGTACAGCTGCCACAAGTAGGTAGACTGGGTGCTGAGAAGATGGAGAGCCTCTGTCTGACTGTGCTGCTGTTTCCAGGGAAGGATGAAGGGAAGTCATGAGCTGAGAAGGGGAGGGAGTATTGGGCATCTAAAGAGAGAGCAGTAATAGTTGTCTCAGAGAGCAGGAAAGTGAACTTAGGAAACGCTGGATTGCCAGGCAGGGTTGAGTGCCCATTTGAGGTTTGTGATTATCAGTTTGAAGTGGGATCGTTGAGTGAGGGCAAAAAGCAGAGAGATCCAATGAGAGATGACAGTGGCTGTGGAGATGGGTAGAAGCAGACAGATTTGAGAAATAGTTTGGATGTGCCCAGATCAGGACTTGCAGCAAAGGATGCAAGAGAGGATGACTCATTGAGCAAGTGAGTGGGTAGGCTGTGGTGCCATTGATGAAGATGGGGAAGACAGAAGGAGGACAGGGCTGGGGGTGGGTAAAGAACAAGAGATCAGTTGGGGGCATTTTAACTCTGAGATGATTATTGTACACCCAAGAGGAGCAATCAAGCAAGCAGTTGGAGAAATCTGGAGCATAACAGGGAGGTGTTTTCTCCTCTGCTCTTCAATTTATGAAAACTATACCATGGCCTGGGCAGAGGTATGTGACATGCATCATCATAATTTACACAAAAACGGCAAGGCTTCCACATTTCCCACTAGACTGCAAGCTCCTTGCAAGTAGGGCCTGGGCTTTGTTCATTTCTGTGCCTCTAGCACCTTGCAAAGCACTGGAAACACAGTGGATGTTTCAGCAAAACCTTTTGGTTGGATGGATGAGTGACATCATGGCCTCTCCCAGCCTCTGTAGACCAGCTGAAATTGAGTGACTTTCTAAAGTCTTGGGCAGGAACCTTCACAGTTTAATGAGAGAGGTCTTACTAATTATGATGATGATTTGGAGGTGGCTTCCAGCCAGGAAGGCCAGCTGCTCTTCTGAGTAGTCATTTAAATGGGACACACCATGGGTAGGTGGACGAGGGTGTGGTGGGTGATTTGGAAATGGGAGGATGCAATACCAATCCCAGTGGTAAGCTAGGTTTGCTTTGTGACCTAAGGCCACCTACTTGACATCTCTTGACCTCAGTTTCCATTCTATTTGTTTGCTGTTGTCTTTTAATGGGAAGGATAGAGATCCACCACCCCGAATGGCTGTAGACACCACTAATAAAACTAATTGCAGTGCCTCTATGGCCAACAGGGGAATCTAATAAACCAGAGACCAAGCATTAGTTTTCAGAAGCAGAGGCCTTGTCTCTCCTTTAGGAAACGTAGCCTACGTCCTGGACACTGTGAGAAATGCCATTTTCTAGCCAAAAGACAACTGTAGGACTTGGCTTTGAGGATGGGTAGATGGAAAATACAGTCTGCATTTGTTCTGCTCTTTGTATGTATCCATCTTTAATTCACTAGAGCCAAGCTCTAGGGAATTAGCAAAGGACCAGTCAGAAGGGGGCTTTGTGCTCACAGAGCTCACCATCTAGAAGATTACACAGAGAACTAGTGGCAGAGAATGGATGTGTCTATCACTGTCATGATACAGATGACAAAACTGAGCCTCAGAGGAGGTAAATAACGTGCCCAAAGTCATATAGTGAGTAAGTGGCAGAGCTGGGATTAACAGTGAGACCCTTCTGACTCCAAGCCAAGCCCTTCTTTCTCTTATGCTATATTGCTGCTCATCAAGTTACGATGCTAAATTTTCATTGGAGAATACAAAATCATACAGGGTGTACAATAACAGCTATGTAAAACAAACCGCTTTAAAAAAGAACAGAAGGAAACACACCAAAATGTTGACAATTGTTATTAACAGGTGATCAGAAAACGGGTGAGTTTTTTTTTTCTTCTATGTTTCTGTATTTTTTTAATACTCTAAAATGAGCTTGTATCACTTTCATAATAAAAAAAAAACCAAGCCATTTCCTGTGTGGTAGATTGTACCAGCCCAGCAGGGGGCAAGGAGCCTCCACCTGTAGATTGTGGTTCCTCCTCTGCCGTGTGGTATTCATTGTGCTTCAAGTGTCTGGTTCTTTTGAAAGCCACATGACTAGTAACTAGTTCACCTGTGTAAACAAAGCTGCCCCCTCAGCTGAGGTGTGGGAGGAAGAACTTCCTCTAGAAGAAGAGCTGTGCTTCTGACACTCAGGTGATGAGTGGAGCAAAGGAAGCTAGGGGGCTGATGTTTCCCCTTCTTGATAGGCTATATCTATAATGCTGTTTTCTGGTTCTAAGATCAAGGTAACTGTATCTCAAATATGAATCTACATATGGGGATGTAAGAGAGGACATTTGAAATTGATATTTTCCTGGAAACTCTGAGATATGTAGTTACTGTAGATAAAAGCTGTTTGGTTGTTTGGAGCCTTTTTTGGTTTCCTGCAACTGTGTGATATCTTCTTTCACTTCCTGCATGCCTAACATACACTCCATGGCCAGTAATCTTCCCCAGAGTAAAGAGCAATAGCTTCCATTAATTGGTCATCTATTACGTAAAGATGCTATGCCAAGCATTTTACATACACTTAATCTTTATGATAACATGTAATGTGGATGTCTCCAGTCGACAGATGGGGAAATGGGAGGTTAAACGAATTGTGCACAGCCACATAGCTCAGAAATGACAGAAGGAGAACCTGAACCCAGGTAGAAATGACCCCAAAGCCACTAGCTACTGCCAAAAAAAATTATAACAACATTGACAGACATTTTATAAATAGAATAAAATCATGCACTATCCCTCTATCTAAACTTAACAAGATAGAAGCTTTTTGTTGTACCAAATTTGGGATAGTGCAAAGCTCCACTTTTAAAAAATAGATTCTACATCAGACACTTCTTATGCACCACTTGAGACCCTTCCAGCCACGGGAAATGGCGGTTCAGTGAATGTCCCTGCCAGCTTCTGGAACCTGACAGTGTCGCACCTCAGGCTCACATGACATCTCTGTTGACATGGTGCTCAGAATGCATGGGAATCCACTTGGTGTCAGGTAAGTGCCTGGAAGCAGGGTTCATGCCCCTGTTGAGAGCCTATTGTCCCCAACGGGGACAGGAGTCGGTGAGTAAATAGCTCCTTCTTCCTCCTCCCACCCTAGGTGGTGGGTCCTGAGATGCTTTTCATGGAGCTCCTCAGACAATCCCTCAGAATGAAGCAGCCAGAACCTGGCCCCCAAATATGTTGTTGTTGTTCGCTGCCATTGAATCGGTTCTGACTCATACCGGCCCTATGAACAACAGAATGAAACGCTGTCCAGTCCTGTGCCATCCTCACAATTGTCGCTGTGTTTGAGCCCATTGTTGCAGCCACTGTGTCAATGCATCCTGTTGAGGGCCTTCCTCTTTTTCACTGACCCTCTACTTTACCAAGTATGATATCCTTCTCCAAGGACTGGATGCTCCTGATAACATGTCCAGAGTATGTCAGACGAAGTCTTGCCATCCTCGCTTCTAAGGAGCATTTTAGCTGTACTTCTTCCAAGACAGATGTATTCATTCTTCTGGCAGTCCGTGGTATATTCAATATTCTTGGCCAACACTATAATTCAAATGCAACAATTCTTCTTTGGTCTTCCTTCAACTTCATTGTCCAGCTTTCACATACATATCCTTCAATTTTTCTCCAGCCCCCCAATAACACATTCCCAAATGCCTCTCCTTCTGTCTGTACTGTAGTCCCCTGAGCCTCATTGCAGCTCCCTGGGCTTATGCTCCCCAATAATGCATTTGCACATGAGCTTTTGTCTCAAGTTCTGCTTTAGATAGAAAGAATCCTGGCCAAAACAGATTCAAACATTTTCTTTGCCTAAGTTCTCACCCAAATATAGACCATCTTTGTCTTCTAGCTTGCATAGGTGCTGATTAAAAAAACCAGTTGCCATCGAGTCATTCCAACTCATGGCAACCCCATGTATGTCAGTGTAGAACTGTGCTCCATAGGGTTTTCAGTGGCTGATTTTTCGGAAGTAGATCTTCAGGTATTTCTTGCCAAGAGCCTCTGGGTAGACTGGAACCTCTAACCTTTTGCCTTATCTTTGTACCACCCAGGGACTCCAGGTGCTGAATAGTCACAAAGAAATGGCAAAAGTTAGGGATTCTGCCATTTCACGTCATAATTCTCTTTAACAACCTCTTGGGGGAGCCGGCTCCTACTTCTAGCTACTCTCTATCAGAGTGTATAAGTCACCTTTTCAAGGTTAAAAAAAAAAAAAAAAAAGAGAAAACTTCCCCTGTGTTCAGGTGGATGTATATGTCGTGAAAATGCTGTGAAATGACCACTGAGAAGTGCCCCCTACCCCAACGTCTGCTCTGGTGGGATGAGAGACACTGATCTTCCATCTCTGGAGTTAGGATTTGCTCCAGGGTGATTCCAGGCAAGCTCGAGATTGCCTCCACATGTTGAGGTGGAGACAAGAAGATGGTGAGTGCAGGCAGAGGGCCATGTGGTTGGAAGGCAGCAAGGATGGCAGGGGATGTCAAGGTTATGGAAAGTGTGGGAGTATCTGCTGTATGGCTATTCATTCTCTGTGTGGAGCACTGGGAAGGCTCCTGAGAGGCAAGGCACAGTTTAGGCGCTGGGGGAAGGGAAGGGATGGAAACATCAGTCTTTCTCCCTGGGAATTCCACTCTGGCTCTGCTCCACACCAATAAGAAGCGATCATTCCCCGCAGTGGGCCTCAGAATAATAGAGCTTTGAGACTTTTTTGTTTAATAACCTTGGGGCTCACTTGCTAGCTAGCAAAGTGAATAATAGGCATCACCTCATCGTCTCCTCCTCCATTATGGCAGGGAATTATTCATGTGAGTATTCATCCATTGACCCCTCTAAAGCCCCCGAAGACAGATGCCCTTCTCACAGATGCTCAGTCTGGACCTGGTGGGAACTCTTCTGCATGTTAACAAGGTTTCATTTTAGGAGAACCATCAAGAACGATGTGATCATTATCTTGGAGAGTCATCCCAGGGGTGGTGCAGAGTGAACAGAAGGCACTGAAGGGTGCATAGCCCTCAGATTGTTCTCCATGTTGGAACAGGGAGGGAAAACCCAAGAATAGAGCATCTTTAAGGTCCTTGGGTGACACAAATGGTTTGCACTCAACTACTAACTGAAAGGTTGGTAGTTCGAACCCACCCAGCGACACTGTGGAAGAAAGGCCTGGCAATCTTCTTCCATAAAGATTACAGCCAAGAAAACCTTATGGAGCTCAGTTCTACTCTGTAATACATGGGGTCAACACGAGTCAGAATCAACTCGACGGCAACTAACAAGAGTATCTTTAGAAACTCCAGTTCTGTGGCTACACCTGACCTTGTCATCACACAGAATTGCTCATCTGTGAAAATCTCACCTCCAGGACCCACTCTGAATGAACACAACCTACAGGTCTGTCTCGCCTTTCCTCCCACCACATCTGCTCTTTGATTTCCCCAGACCTGCTCTGGGACTCGTCTATTTACTCCCGTCCATCTCCTCCCCTTTGGATTTTCCTCAGTCTTCATCCAACATAGAACCCATGACCCATCACCTCAACTACCCTGTGGTTAGTACCCTCTACTGTGGTCAGAACCCTCTCCTGTTCCTGAGCCTGCAAATCCCTGACTCTGTATTCTCCCATGTGCTCACCTTCTCCACACCTGTGCCCGGCTGCCAAGCCCTAGATAACCATCCAACTCTGCAGGCCTGGGCCCACCTCAAATGCATCGGGCCCCCAGGGCTGCCCAGAATTCTCCCTTTGAGTCTGGTAGCTTCCTCTTTCATTTTTCTCAGTGACTTTTCCAATTTTCCATTGCTTTCCTCAAAGCCCCTTTGTGATCACCTCCCCACCTACTCTCAAGAGAAGACTTTGCTTCCAACTTTATAGCTAAAAAATAGAAGCCACCAGGCAGGAATTTCCTCAGCTTCCTGCCTTCCACCTATGAATGTATCACACCATCCACACCCATCTTTATCCACCTCCAGCTTATTTCCCAAGGTCAACTCCTCTGTCCCCTTGGGCCTTCTTGGACTTTGCCATACCAGTTCTCTCTCTTTTTTCATTTTAGATAATTTTATTGTATTTCGTTTTAACAATAACTCCCCATCTCCCCTTCCCCTTTCCCTGCTAACCTCTAAACTACTTTCTGTCTCTATGCATTTGCCTATTCTAGATGTTTCATAGAAGTGGGATCATACAATATTTGTCCTTTTGTTTCTGGCTTATTTCACTCAGTATGATGTTTTCAAGGTTCAGCCTTGCATCAGAACCTCATTTCTCTTTATAGCTAAGCAACATTCCATTGTATGTACATACCACACTTTGTCTATTCATCTGTTGATAGACATTTAGGCTGTTTCTGCCTTTTGGCTATTGTAAATATCGCTGCAGTGAACATTGGTGTATAAGTATCTATTGGAGTCCCTGCATTCAATTCTTTTGGGTATGTACCTAGGAGTGGAATTGCGGGGTCACGTGTACTTTGGACATGTTATCAGGAGGGACCAGTCCCTGGAGAAGGACTTCATGCTTGGTAAAGTAGAGGGTCAGCTAAAAAGATGAAGACACTCAACGAGATGGATTGACACAGTGCTGCAACAATGGGCTCAAACATAACAATGATTGTGAGGATGGCGCAGGACTGGGCAGTGTTTTGTTCTGTTATACACAGGGTTGCTATGAGTAGGAACCGACTCGACTGCACCCAACAACAACAATGGTAATTCTATGTTTAACTTTTTGAGGACCCACCAGTCCCCTCCTGCTCAGCTTCTTCATTCTCTTTTTCTCTAGGCTCCCCGCCTCAGTCCACCAAGATCGCTTTTGTCAATGATCCCAATAACCCAATTTTCAAATCCAAGGTATACTTTCAGACTTCTTGTAACTTGATCCTTCTGAGGCATATGTTGCTGTTGGCCACTCCCTCCTTTTCCAATCTCTTCTTTTTTTGGCTTTGGTAACAACACTGTTACTTGGGTTTTCATCACCCTTCTGGTTATTCTTCTCAATAGCCTTCATCTGGCCACCCCTAAAACGTTATCGGGATTCCCAGGGGTTATAAGGACTATTCTGTACTCCCACGGCTCCTGGGCTCACCTTCATGGAAGCCCATAATGGTCTATCAACTTGTCAGTCTTCCTCTACTTGATCTTGTGTCATAAGTCAGACAGACCACATCTACAAGTGCCTTTGTCTCTGTCCCTAGTGCTTAGCATACCACCTGGTACTTATTGATCTCTGATTGATGATTAATGGCGCAGCTTGTGGCACAACGGGGACCCCTAACCTTTTTTAGATGTACAAATGGATCAAATGTTTGTTTTTGTTTTTTCTGTGCTTCTAAACCATTTTGCCCTCCAAAAGTGCAATGCAGTGTCAAAAAATTGAATTCAAAATTTTAGAGCATTTTTTGGGTTAAAAATTTCATAAGAAAATAGGGGTTAATCTTGAAATGTTGTAATTGGAAATAACTCAAGTATGTCAGAACCTCTGTTGGCTTAACTGGTGGCTGAACCTGGCTTGTGAGAGAGCCTGGGGTGGAGGGTAAGAGAGGAGGATGCCAGAGTCACCTGAGCTGGAATTTCCATGACTTAAGATTCTATTTTAAGAAGAAAAATATTAGGTCACTTTGTACATGTTGTACATATAGAGCAGGTGTTTGGGGGGCATAGTAAGGGATCTTGATTGATATCTGAATTTAGCATTACAATCCCTGATCTTTGTCATAGGTCACTAAAATGAGACACGGATGCCAAGCTGTAAAGTCACCCTTTTCATTTGTAAGTACATAGATATTCATTTCCTCATTTGATTTAATTTTCATGCCAACCCAAAGAGACAGGATTTGTTGTTGCCCCCATTTTATAGATGAGCAATTCAAGGCTCAAAGAGATTTAATTACATAATTGTTCAAGGTCAAGCAGATGGTAAATTATAGCAATGGAATTCAAACTCCAAGACACTGCTTCTATTTTCTAGTGTCTTTTGATGAAGATTAGTGATATTTGCTTCTTTTGCCCTTTGAAGTTATCTGACCTCTTTTTGGAACAAAAAAAGGTCATTTTGGCAGGCATTGGAGCACAGCGATTAGGAGGAGCCTGGATATTAGCATAATGAATGTTGGCTCCTCATTTAACCAGCCCTGTGGTCTTGGGGAAGGATCCCTTGTTGCACGGTGGTTAAGCGTGTGGCTGCTAACTGAAAGGTCAGCGGTTCGAACCCACCAGCCAGTCCATGGTGAAAGATGTGGCAGTCTGCTTCTGTAAAGTTTACAGCCTTGGAAACCCTATGGGGCGGTTCTACTCTGTCCTCAAGTGTTGCTATGAGTTGGAATCGACTCCAGGGCAGTGGGGTCTTGGATATATCACCAATCCTCTGTGAGCTTCAGTTTCTGCATTTGTGAAACGGAAAAAATAGCAATCATGCCTACCACATAGGGTTATTATAAGGTGTAAGTGAACTAATATGTGCAAAGGATTTGGCATAGTATCTGGCGTATAAAAAAACAGGTGCTGTTAAATCAGTTCCAACTCATGGCAACCCCACGTGTGTCAGAGCAGAACTGTGCTCTATAGGGTTCTTAATGGCTGTTTTTTTAAAAAGTAGATCACCAGGCCTTTCTTCTGAGATGCTTCTGGGTGAGTTGAACCTCCAACCTTTTGGTTAACAGCTGAGTATGTTAACTATTTGCACAACCTAGGGATTCATTTGCGCAGCAACCTCTTAATATGTTGTTAAGAGTCTTCGGGTCGATTATGACTTACAGCAACCCCAGGTGGCAGAGTAGAACTGCCCATAGGGTTTTCTAGGTTATAATCTTCAGGGGAACAGATTGCTAGGTCTTTCTCTCACCCAGCCGCTGGGTCTGTTCAAACCACCGACATTTAGGTTAGCAGCCAAGCACTTAACCGTTACACCACAAGGGCTCCTTCTTAATAGGTAGGAAGTATTAATATTATTATTATATGTTATATTAATATTACCATTATGTTATTATAAACCCAAAACCCATTGCCATCGAGTTGATTCCGACTCATAGTGACCGTACAGGACAGAGTAGAACTGCCCCATAGAGTTTCCAGGGAGCAGCTGGTGGATTCGAACTGCCAACCTTTTGGTTAGCAGCCAATCTCTTAACCACTGCGCCACAAGGGCTCCATGTTATTATGTGTTCATTTATTTTTCAGAGCATGCAAATTCTTCACTTTTCAAAAAGAAGGACTCCTTTAAGTGTTCCTGCTGGATTTTACTGGCACTCTAGTTTGAGGTCAGGTAGATGATGTAGTTATGAATCTAACACTTATGTAGGGCTTGGCATGGGCAAGGAGAGTAGTGGGCACTCTGAGACCCACAGTGTCTGCTTCCAAGGAGAGCAAGTGGTGTAGCCCCAGGGCCCTGTTCTCTCTGCCCTTCTCCTCTCTCCCAGGTGGAGTTTGAAGATGTGTGGGAGAAGACCTTAGGGCTGATTCTACATCCATCACCTGCCCTTGCTGCACATTTCCAGGCATCTGGAAGGAGCCTTCTCTTGCTAAGACAGGCATTCATTTTTCTTCCGGAAGGCTGAGGGAAGGCAAGCAGTAATCCCAGGCAGTGATGTCTGCAGCCCGGAGACTCAACCCTGACAAGAGTGATTAATCTGTGTGCAGAGCTGTCCCTGGCAAACACAGCGCCCATCAGATAACAGAGCAAAATAAAGTCTGCTGTGCAGAGGCCATCCAAGAACCCGTGTACTGAGTAGGAAGAGCACCAGGGGTCTAGGTGAGGGCAGGCTGACCTTCAGGTGAGAGGGCAATGTCTCAGGATCAGACCCATGACAGGGACACTTGGAGGGGGAGAAGAATGCAGCAGAGGGGTGGGCAGGGCAACGGAATGTGACCCCAGAGGGGCAGGGCTCCTCTTGGTTCGGGCCTACATGCCATTAAGATATTTAAGCTCTGTCTCACTAGTCAGAGAATGCGACTGGCTTCTCAGCTTGAGGCCCCAATCTGGCTCCTCCCTCCCACCAGGATTTCACACTTCGAACTGTTGCTTCATCCGGGCCCAAACCCACTGCAGTCGAGTGGATTCCAACTCATAGCCCGACCCTATGGGACAGTGTAGAAGTGCTCCACAGGGTTTCCAAGCTGTAATATTTATGGAAGCAGACTGCCACATCTTTCTCTTCTGGAGCAGCTGGTGGGTTCAAACTGCCTACCGTTCCGTTAGTAGCCAAGTGCTTTAACCACTGCACCAGGAGTGTCCCCCTCTAAGTCAGTTCTTAGCAGGGTTTCAAACTGGTCCTTACCGGTGCGATCCCCTGCTGAGAATTTGCGTTTCCACCGCAGATATACTGAATCACAATCTACGTTTTAACAGATCCCCAGGTGATTCTTATGTATGATAAATGCTCTACTATACATTGAGCAGAAATTCTCAAAATTTATCGTACATATAATTTTATGTATTTAAATGTATTTATGTATTTTTGTGTATTTAAATTTTATAATTTAACTCATATACACTATATGAGTTCTAAGCTCTGAGAACTGGCAACAAAGTCCGTTCCTGATTGGATGTCGTGGTCAGATGGGGGGAGGAGGGACTGGGGAAAGCCGGAATCCGTCTTTTTAAGCCAATTTCTGGGATGGGATGGGGACAGATGTGTCTGACCTCTCTTTAAAACCCAGCTGTTGAGTGAATTTGTCCAGCGGGAGATCTCTGGTTCTTAAAGCCTCAGTTTCTCCTCTGACAGGGACAGGTTCTGTGTTCACCCGCTGCTAAGCTGCAGGAAGAGGAAAGTAATCAGCGCACAGAGCTGGAGAAAGCGGTGCGGCCGGGTCGGAAAAGAGAATAAACTCTTATCCACCCCGCGCGCTCTCCGGACTCATCTCCTGCCGCCCCTCTCCCCAGCTGCCCGGGCGGCGGCCCCTTTAACAGACCTGACCAATCGCCCGCCCATCTCCGCCGCCGCTCTTCGGCGCAGGGGTAGGGGCTGGATTGGCCGGGCCTGGCGCGAGGCCTGCTCCGCCCCCACC